AACAGCCCTCTCCCACCCAGCCTGGGTAGTGCCTGCCCTTGCCCCCTCCCTCCCTCATCACAGGGGGCATGGATCTGCCTCCCATGCCCCTTTCCTCCCCCCTCCCCTTCTACCATAACAGACTTATCAGCTGAAGGCAGCTGTATTGGAAATTGGATCGGTATTGGCCGATACACCTCCTTAAATATTGGCTATCAGTATCAGCCCCCAAAATCTCTATCAGTGCACCCCTAGTAAATATTTTGGCTCCAAACCTCGACTTATACACTATGAAATATGGTAACTCTTTTTTGGTTTTGTTTTTTTGTTTTTTTTTTAAAGACAAATCAAAGTTCTTGGAAGACAGTGTCAGTTATACTGGACAACCCAGTAGACCTGAGAAATAATATTCAATTAATATGAATGCTGAAAAAAAATCTTACATTTTTTTCTCAAGTATCTCTTTTTATATTTATGGTTGCTCGAAAACTACTTAGGGAGGTATTGGTTCTAAAACAGAATAGGCAAAAAACAGCATAGTTTCAAAACTTCGCTGTTCCTCTGTCAGGCCTTTATTTTTACAAGACTTATCTTGAAATTGTTAAAGCATGAAGTTATCTTCACATTCTGTTAAGCGAAATTTTTTCAACAGTCTGATGTTGTTCAGTATCTCCAGTGTGACTCTTTCTCTTTTTTTACTTCAGATTTGTACAAACACTTACACATCTTCTCAAAGGAAACATTGGAACTGGCCTTCTAGGACTTCCACTTGCAATAAAAAATGCAGGCGTTGTGGTAAGAATCTTTTTTTTCTTTAGGTGGAAAAAGAGATGCTTGTAAAAGTTTCTGATGGTACAGAAATTCAGGCTAACACTTACTTATCTTGTCAATAATGACTTAAACAGGGTGACATCTTATTTTTCTTTTCTGGAGTTTGGTTGTTAGGATGAAAGATTGAGAATTGGAATTCTTGGTTTCTTTTCTTTTTGTCACTGGTTCAGTGTAAAGTTTTAATTTCTCCGTTAGAGACACACACGTGTATGTATGTATGTGTATATATATATATGTGTGTGTGTGTGTGTGTGTGTATGAAAAACTTTGATTCAGAAATTGTTTCTGAATCATGGCAGTTGTTGTTTGGGTGAATTTTGTCCTCCTCCTCCTTTATGGGCTGGGGTCCCTTGCCAGACCGTGGGCTTTACATCCTGTTAACATCTTATACACCTAAGTGGAGCTTATGTAGCTTTGTAAGCACAGTTTTTGCTATTTATGCAGAGGTGGTTTCCATTAGATCTTGCATAGTTATGCTTGCCCTATACTTTTTTTCTGAGCGTGCTCAAAAGGCTCTATTCTATATAGGCGGATTAATGCATGGGCCAGCAGGGCCTGGGCCCAAGGACCTCTGCTAATTAGGGGGCTCTGGATGCCTAGGTTTTCTTTTCTTTTCTTTTTTTTTTCTTTTGATATCTAGGTTTTTGTTTTTGGGGGGAGTTTTTTGCATACACTCACACCTCTTACAACCTGTCAAGTGACCACTGTGGTTCACTTGGCAAACCAAAGCATACTTTGACAGTTAAACTATTTTAGTTCTGTTACACAGTTCACACCTGTGCAGCCATCACTATTCCAGTGCTTTCACCCACTGTCTTTTCAGAGAATTTACCTCTGAAAAGTCTATGCCAGTCCTCTCTCCACCATATATGGTCTGCTGTTTCTTTCCTATCGTCCTCTTGTGTCTTTTTGTAGCACCAATATATTTCACTTGGCCCCATTTTAATACAATTTTTTTTTTTAATAAGGAAAATTTTTCATGCCCCTGTCAAATTAGCCAGATCAGTTCCAAATCCTTTGAATCAGTCAAAAACTTCATGTGGCCCTACTACCAGCGGCTATCCTCCAACCCAGGCTTTTCAGCCTGGGGCTTCAGATACTTCCAAATCCTGTGGCATGCATCCTATGTACAGGCCCATGCCCAGAGGCTTGAGGTTTGGAGTCCCCTGAGTTTCGCTTGCCCTCAGTCGTATGGGCTCAGGAACAAGCTGGGGACGACTCTCCCATTTCCATAAAGTCTGCCCAGTTGTTGCCTTTAAAATTGACACTCAGTTCTTCAGGAAGAATAGGGACTTTTAGTGTTTAAACTGTTTCTTTGTTCATCATGTTTATTTTGAACCTGCTCATAACTAGCTCTTATTTAATAAAATGTGAAATTGCTGATAGAGAGACTTGTCTATGACAACTAGTTCTCTTAAAGTACTTTATATATTTACAACCTATGACCTGCCTTCTCTCTCCATACAGATTGGACCCATCAGCCTTGTATTTATAGGAGTTGTATCTGTTCATTGTATGCACATCTTGGTACGTTGCAGCCACTGTCTGTGTCGGAGGTAATTGTGGAGCTCTTTGTTCTGCTATAGAATTGTAATTTGCTCTGTTTGTTTTTATTTTTAATCTTTAGCCTGCAAAGTGTCTTGATGTTGCAATATTTTCAGTCCTGATTCTGACAGCAAAAGAAGGGCTACAAAGGTCTATGTTCAACAACTAACATCAGCTTCTAGGTATCATACAGGGATGCTTAGCTGTTTGTCATCCTCTGTTCTACAGTGCTTTGAACAATATTTGCTTTTAAATACTTAAGAGTGCTTTGCTTACTGCTTGTGTTCAAACTGGGCTTATTTACAATTAAGTGTTACTTGCTTCTGTTTCAATTGTTCAGCCTTGTTTTGAACCCAGAGGGCAAGACAATATGTGCAAAACAAAGGAAGAGGAGTGTGGAGAAGAGAGAAGCATATGAAAGGAAGATTTACAAAATTGGGCAAAAGATGAAAGTAGAAAAGAATGAGTAAAAAATTAACAGTGAGAAGATGAGAAATGTGCTTTGAGAAGGGTCTATAAGCAATAGCTTTTTTGACATGTATATGAGATTAGCTGACCCACTTCTTGTTCCTTTCCTGAAGCATTTTGAAAAAGGGCACACGTTTTGGCAATGTGAATAGAAAAAGTGAAGAGCTGAGGGTGTTGCAGGATCTCATTCTTGTCAGGGACCATTTCCATTCTGCAAGAAGGTTTGCCTTAAATACTCCTTGTGTAAAACAGTAGAGAGGAAAACGTATAATGGTGCAAGACCTTCCATCAAATCAGTTTTTCTAGTGCATACAGAAAAAGACTTTTAAGTAAACCAGGGAGATGATTTGGGTTAACATACAGCTGCGTTGTTCCAGTGTCCTCTGTCTACCATCTTTATTCTCTTTGCTTCTGATAGGAATGGTAAGTGAGGAAGGGTTTATACTCTAATGACAGGCAGGTGCACTGGTTAGAAGAAAACATGATCCAGCAGTCTGTCACATTAAATAATATGGGAATTGATTAAAATAGGAAATTGCATGTCAAGTGCAAAATATTGCTCCCCTGCCCCCCATGTAGTTTAATAATTGAGAAAGGTATTTATTTTTTAAATGACCATGTTAAGACATGTCACATGCATGTGAATTTCTGCTAAATTTCTTTTATGTTAATATGGTGCGTCAGTCTTTTTGAATTGAGAAAAACTCAATTTTTAACAATTTAAAAGCAGGCAAAAATACATTTAAATGATACTGTGGAGGAGGCAAATGTCAGACTTTCCTATGGGGTGAGATGCATCTCATCTTTATTTTAATGTATACTCAGAATTCTAGCAGATGTTGTTTCTGTAATACTATGAAGTTTGTCAACCAAGGTAATGATAGGAAGATAATGTAAAACCTGATCTAGAAGGAATATGCAAAGAAGCGACAACATGGAAGGAGATTGCACAAGATAGAAAGGGCTAGAATCCTAGGGCATTTATACACATGCTCTGGGAGTGTGGAGCCAGGGAGTGCTTTAAGTAGAGCAGCTCCAAGAATCACTGTAATTAAAGCGCCTGGAGTGATGTGTATCACCATCCCCACACTGAAAAATGGTGGCAGGGTGCTTTTTAATATAAGCTCAAGAGATCTGAGGAGGAGGGCCATGTCCTCCACTACAGAGGAAGGCAAAAAACCCTCACAGTACATACCAATCTGACCATAGGGTAAAATTCTTTCCTGGTCTCAAATATGGTGGTCAATCTGACCCTGAGTGGAGGGGCAAGACCCTCTAGCCAGGAACATCCAACCTTAATTCCCAGCAGGAGCATTGACACACCCCAGTCAAAATCCCTAGGCTTGGCTGCAGCCAACACCCAGTGCCTCTGAGGAAGGTTTAAAAAAACCCTGTAAAACATGTAGCAGTGGTGGGGAGGAAGGGAGGAGTGCAGGATTTGTTCCCTTCTCTGTGTGACAACTAGCAAAGCCCAGAAGCATGGGAAATACCCATAGTAGAACATAGGCATACCTGTGTCCAGATCATCCCAGATCAATGGCTTTCCAACCTCTTTTTGAAAACTTTTAATGATGGAGAGTCCCCAGTTTCTCAGGGTATGGGTTGGAGGCAGCTGCAAGGGAGAGACTCCCTACCCCTGCCCCCCCTGCAGGAGAACCAGGGCTGTACTTGCTGCTCTGGCTAGTGCTTTGGGACTGGGACTGCGGCAGCAGCAGTTGCTGACAGTCCCTGCTCATTTGTGGGGGGATGGGGCCTTGCTTGCATCCAAAGTTGGTGGCCCAGGACCTGTCTGGGTAGCAGGGCACAAAACAGGGCTCAAAAGCTCATCCTGCAGCTGCCTGCAGGAGAGAGAAGCCTGCCCACCATCTCACACCCTGAGGAGTAAGATAGCTGTTCCCACAGGGACTCTAGCAAGGGAAGAGCTCTCAGAGTGCCCATGGGAAGAGAAGCTTTCCCTGAAGCTCTTTCAGGGTGGTTGGCAGCTCTGGTAGCCACCCTCTGCCCCACAGGAATCAGAACTATTCCTTGGGGCTTTGTGGGGTAGGGGGCAGCTCTAGTAACTATTGCCCATGGCACAGAAAGCAGGGCTGTTTCCAAGGTGTTGGGGTGAATGTTGTCTTCCTGGACTTTAAGAAGGCCTTTGACACGGTTTCCAACCACATTCTCTTAAAAAAAACTTGGTGACTGCAGCATTGATGCCTACACAGTCAGATGGGTGGTAAATTGGCTAGATGGTCACACCCAGAGAGTGGTGGTGGACGGGTCATTTTTGACCTGGAGGGATGTGGGCAGTGGAGTCCTGCAGGGCTCAGTCCTGGGGCCTGTACTGTTCAATAACTTTATTAGTGATCTGGGTGTGGGTATGGAAAGCACGCTGTCCAAATTCACTGACGACACCAAGTTGTGGGGCAAGGTGGGCACGCTGGAGGGGAGGGACAGAATCCAGCTAGATCTAGACAGGTTACAGAGGTGGGCGGATGAGAATTAGGATGGGATTCAACACAGACAATTGCAAGGTGCTGCATCTAGGGAGAAGGAACCAGCAACACACCTATAGGCTGGGAAACACCCTTCTTGTCAACACAGTGGCAGAAAGTCATTGTTGACTCCAGGATGAGCATGAGCCGCCAATGCGAGGAAGCGGTCAGTAAGGCTAACTGCACCTTGTTGTGCATCCACAGATGCATCACAAGCAGGTCCATGGAGGTGATCCTCCCCTTCTATGCAACACTGGTCAGGCTGCAGTTGGAGTACTGCGTCCAGTTCTGGGCACCACACTTCAAGGGGGAAGTGGCTAGCATTGAGAGGGTCCAGAGGAGGGCTACTTGCATGGTCAAGGGGCAGCGGGGCAGGCCCTACGAAGAGAGGCTAAAGGGTGTGAACCTGTTCAGCCTCCACAAGAGATGGCTGAGAGGGGATCTGGTGGCTGTTTACAAACTCACCAGGTGGCACCAGAGAAAATTGGGGGAGACTGTTCCCCTGGCCACCACCTGTGGCTACTAGGAATAACGTCCACAAATTGTTAGAGAGAAGGTTCAGGCTGGACATCAGGAGGCATTACTTTACAGTTAGGGCTGCCAGGCTCTGGAATGAGCTCCCAAGTGAGGTAGTACTCTCCTACCTTGGGGGTCTTCAAGAGGAGGCTGGACAGATATTTGGCTGGGGTGATATGACCCTGGCACCTGTTTCTGCCCGGGGCAGGGGTCAGACCTGATGATCTGTTTAAGTCCCTTCCAACCCTAAGCACTACGTTACACTATGATACTATGGTTGCCATGGCCAAAACACTGGCTCTTTTCACAGAGACAGTGCTTCTCCTCTGGCTGTTGGCATGGGCAAGAGCCTCTATGGCCATACTGCTGGGGGGCCCTTCTCCCAGGCTGGACACTGAGCAGGGGCAGTTGCCTGGCTGTGGCAGAGGCCCCCTGATCATCTGATCAGGAGGACTGAGTAGGGAAAAGTAGGCTGAACACCCTGACCGGCTATTAGGGAGCCAGCCACTCTCCCTTCCTTTCTGGGGCCTCTGCCACAACAGAGGACTATGGGGAAACCAGCAGTGTCAGAGTGACACACCTGTTAAATCTGTAGTGCTGTTTCAAGCAGCAGCTTTTTTGTCCTGGATTACTTTTGTGTCTATTCAGCCATTTTCTTTAAATGGGAAAACAGTGTGAATGTATGGCTGTTTGCATTTTGTCCTATTAAGCTTGCATATAAATGGTAACAAAAATAATTTCTGTTAAAGCCCTTAGACTATTGGTCCTCAACCTTTTTGAATTTGGGGCACCCCTCATTGAACTTAAGGAACCCATCCATAACTATTGTGAATTGTGGCATCCTGATTTAAAAATTCATTTATATACCATAGTACTTACATCCTTGTAGAGGGGCTGGGCAGTGGGAGTGGGGTATCACCCAGGTAGGGACAAACCTGAGGCTGCACTTCTCTGCTTATCTCCTCACACTTTGCAGCACTCTTCACAGGCTTTGGTGGCACCCCTGGGTGGTACCCAGGTTGAGAATCATTGTGTTAAGGCACCTTCACACCTGCCAGATCCCTATTCCAATGTGTGCTAATTAGCATGCATTGGAGCAGACTAGATTAATTGAGTTTGCTGGAGCGTGCTAATTAGCATGCTCCAGCAACTTTGGTGTCATGTGTATTCAGCATCTCTGCACTTCAAAATGGCTGCAGAGGGGCTTTAACTAAAGCTTGTTGAACGAGTGAATTAGCATGCATCAGAGCAGGCATCTGGCATGTGTGTAGGTGCCCTCAAGACCAGCTGGTTCAGAGAGCCACAGGCAATTGCACACTCAAGTTGACTTTAAGAGTTTTTTTTGTTTAAGAACAACTACTCTGAGGTCAGTGATGGAATGTCCAGGAAAGTTCAAGTGTTTGCTGTGGGCTTTTCTGTGTTTCTGGAATTGAAGCTGAGTTGGTGTCTGTTCATTCTTCTCTGTAGGGATTGTCCTGTCTGGACAGCAGAGGGGCACTTTAATCAGGGTGGTATATATGATGTCAGTGGGTGAGTAGATGAATGAATGACAGATGTTAAATTTTTGTTGCTTGGTCCAGTGATGAAGGGGGTCTGTGTTGATGAGGGGACACAACTGGCATCTTTTTCTACCTTTGACTGATTTCAGATGAATGTGCCTTGCCACCCCTGCCTACTGTATGATACAGACATTTTCATTGTGATCTTGTGGGTCCGCTAAACTTGTCAAGGTATGGCATAAGAGATTAGCTTTGGTGTATTATTGCAACGCCTCTCCATTCTGTCATTTCAGGTTGAAAAAGACCTCACTAGGGTATAGTGACACAGTTAGCTTTGCCATGGAAATAGGGCCCCTGAACATCCTTCAGAAACGAGCTTCTTGGGGAAGGTAAGCTTGTTGTAGCATTTAAAGTAATAAATAACATTGAAAGTAGTGAAATTAAATTACTTTAAAAGTAAATAAATGACATTAAAAGTAAACTTGGAAAAGTTATGGGGTTGCCTTTCTACCTAATGCGTGCATTAAGACATGTGATCTCTGTGTTAGAAATGTTTTTACACTGTGCTATTGCTCTCTAGTACTGTAGTGCTTAGTTCTTGACCAGGACTCCACTGTGCTCTGTAAATGCAGGACAAAATATGGCCCCTGGCCTAAAGGCCTTACAGTCATAATAATGTGGGAGGGTTGAAAAGTAGAAGTCTCACAGCTAATTCATTTTCTTATTTGAATATAAAATGCACGTTGCAGAGTAATCTTTATTTTTTTTTCACAATAATGAAATTAAACAGATAAGAACACTGAAAGAACAATAGTAAAATGAAAGTGTTAACAGCTTGTCTGTCTTTTGACTTTCTCAAAGAGAAAAAATATTTAATAGTTTGTTTTATGGCTGTGTAAACCCTATGCAATAGTTGTGATCACTTCACAATAATAATATCCAAAATCTTGGAGATAGTTTCAAAATAAATTCTAATTTTAATAATGATTTATAAGAATTTTCTTCTTTTTTAACACTGGATATGATTTGCCCATTTTTTCCAGGATACAATATGTTGTACAGTGTATCTTGGCTATTATTATTCAAATAAAGCAAATTCATCTTTTCAGATCTCTGGTGATTACTTTATAGGAACGCAGTGTAATTCAATTTGGAGGAACTTCATATATGGTAATAGAATGAAAGCCCTGTAACTCTTTGTACATTGTAATGTACACATTACCATTCTAAATTCTAGAGAAGCTGTACGGCACAACATTTTCTTCTGCAAAATAGAGTCCTATTGCACACACAATTCTTTAAATTGACTTCCATTAAAACACTTCTTCAGGCTGCCAAAGCAGCCTATAATATAGGCCTTGCAAAATAACTTGAACGACAGTTAGAGGGGGAGAATCGGAGAAGGAGGGCTGGAAGGCACCTCTGGAGATCATCTAGTCCAACCCCCTGCCTAAAGCAAGATCATCCATATCCAAACCATCTTATATAAATCCATTGTCTAACCTGTTAGCAAAACTGCAGAATCAATCCTGACAAAACCACAGAACATAACACTCTAGCCTTTCACAGGTAAAGCAGTGACCATGGCAGCAAAATGTCCTGCTGTTGCAAAGTTGTTAAAAAATGCTTGTGAGATAAAAGGAAGAGGGCCATGCCCTTTGCTACAGAGGAAGGCATACCCCCCCACAGTCTTGAAAATCCCCAAACTTTCAGAGATTCACTGTGTGGATTCTTGGTTAGGTACAGACATTCAAAAAGCTTGAGGAGGAATTGATCTAAGTTATATGGTTTTCTGTAAGCAGTGCAGTTTAGATTGGTAGCAAACAGAACACGTGTTTTCCCTTTTGGGGGTGAGGGCGGTGCAGATCTTAGACTGGGTTCCCGCCATTTTTAAGCCAGTCGCGGTGTGACAAAAATCTGTTCTGTTACAGGTATACAGAACAGATTTTTACAGTATTACAGTAATTTCCAATCACTTATACTGGTAAAAGTATAATGTCTGTACTTGGCCCTTGTGACTGAAACAGGATCATATTGTAATCTACCATTTGGTAGGAACTGAAGAAAAGTGTTCTTATCTTGTGCTGTTGAAACCTTCTCTAACTTTAGACTGCTTAAGGCATTTCATCTTCTGGTTTCATTACTCTTAATACCAGTGCTATTCTAAAACATTGAAGCATATATTAAATGAACATTTGAATATAGATAAGTATTGTACTCTACCTACCATTCTTTAGGAAAACTGCTTTTCATTATATGGAATTGTAGAATGAAATACTCAGTTTATGCATTTCTAAGAAACTCATCACTTCAGTATTTACTTGGTGTCAGCTAAAGAAATAATTTGTCTCATCCTTTTTGAAGAGGAGCCCACACTGCAGTGTTCCTGAGTTCCATTTGGTATTCAAAATAATTGCTTTCACCTTTAGAAATGTTTACAAGGTGTTGGACCATGCTAGGAAACACTGCTCTGAAAACATGCCCCAATCTGTGTGTCAGATAGTGGAAAAATAATACACCACCTTTTTGGTGTGTTCCCAGAGCTGCTCTTAGTCTTGGTCATGCTTATTAGAGTGGCACCAGGTGAGCGAATAGGGGCAGCAAACAGGGCAGTTTGCAAACAGTTCACTAAAAGCAAGAGGGGGAAGAGGAAGAGCCAGGCACCAGATCCTCCTCCAGAAAGGTAAGTGAGCCAGGGCTGTCTGTGTGTTTGCCTTGCTGAGTATTTGTTTGGTGGGCTGTATGTGTTTTGGGTGTGTGCTTTGAGCAGCTGGGAGTGCTGCAAGTTGAGTGATTGGTGGGTGATTACTGCCTGAGTCTGACAAAAGCCCTAACAAGGGGGTGGAGACAGTCCAAGCAGGGTATAGAAGAAGACTCTAGGAAGTGAGGAAAAGAGCAGCAAAAAGGGCAATTTGCAGGTAGTTTGCAGGTCAGTTTGCTGCTACTTTTGCCACCTCCCTTTTTAAAATGGAGTCATAAGGTAAGCCTTTTCTTTTTATAAAAGTAGCCAACCCACATATATTAAGTCAGGGGCAGGCAATTATTTTGGACAGAGGGCTGCTTACCCAGTTTTGGCAAACTGTTGAGGGCCCCATGGCTAGCCCCGCCCCTTGACAGGTGATAACGTCCCAGCATCTTCAGACCAATGTCCCAGGGCCAGAGCAGGGTGCTAGCAGGGGTCTGTGGAGCTGGGTTGGGCTGGGTTGTACCAGTAGGAAGAGTGGGGAGCTGGCCCGGGTCCATAGAGCCCCTGCCAGCTGGGACTCCATACCCCTGCCGCCCTGCTCTGGGCCCTGCTGGCACTGGCCCCAGGACACACCAGTGTGGGTTCCGTGCTCCCACTGACTCCCTGCCTGCTCACTCCCAGTGCCCCCCAGCCCCATGGTACAGGCGGGGGGGAGCGCGGAGCCCCGACCCCTGCTCACCGGCAGAGAAGAAGCTGGAGCTGTGTGGACCACCCCTTCCCCTGCCCTGTGCCCAGTGGTCCCTGCTGCAGGTGCTCACAGCCCACGTGCAGCTGTCCTGAGCAGGCACAGGCAGACCCATGCAGGCTGCAAGCAGCTGCAGCGTGGGGCGCCGGGCATGGGGTGGGGGAGGGGCCACTTTTCCCCGCACTCAGCACCAACTTGTAATCTGCCCTCACTGCCAGCCTGGTCCTTGCGCTGGTTGCGCGTGGTAGCAGCAGCTGCTCGGCATGTAGGAAAGTGGTCCCCTGTGCCAGGCAGTGTTTGCTGCTGCTGCCCGCTTGGAGCTTGCGTGCTGGGCAGCACAGATGCAGCGGTGGCAAACACTGCCTGGTGCGGCAAGTGGGGGGTGGGCCGCAGCTGCTGCCACTGCATGCAGCCCTGACGGGTGAGCCTGGAGCTAGCGCAGGGCCCAGGCTGGTAGCAGGGGTGGGTTGTAAGCTGGTGCTGAGCATGGGAAAAGCGGCCCCTCCCCTGCCCTGTGGCTGGCACCCCACACTGCAGCCACTTGCAGCCCATGTGGGACTGGTGCCTGCACAGGGAGCGCTGGCAATGGGGTGGGGGAGGTGCTGCTTTTCCTTGCGCTCAGCTTTTCCCCGAGCCACTTTTCACTGGGCTCTTTTTCCCTGCCTGGGGTCCTTCCCTACCCCACCCCGCCTGTTCCTTACCTGAGTTTCCAGCACCAGGGCAGCCACGTGGTCCCAGGCCAGAAGCCTTCCGGCTTGCGGGGCAGGGCCGGGCAGTCCCTGCTGTTGCAGGAGTCCGCCAGGGCTTCCCCCAGGTCCTACTGCCCCTGGCTTCTGTTATTTTTGATGGGAATGAAGGGCAGATAAACATAAATTTTCTAAGTTTTTTAGGGGCCCCATGGGCTGGATAGAATGGCCTCGTGGGCCAGATTCAGCCCGTGGGCCATATTTGTCCCACCCCTGTATTAAGTGCAAGTAGCTAAGTGTATCTGAGGGTGCTGAGAGAGTTGGCTGATGTGATTGCAGAGCCACTGGCCATTATCTTTGAATACTCATGGTGATTGAGGGAGGTCCTGGACAATTGGAAAATGGCAAATATAGTTCCCATCTTTAAGAAAGCGAGCCTCACCAGAAGAGCCAGTCATCTCACCTCAGTCCCTGGAAAAATCATGGAGTAGGTCCTCAAAGAATCCATTTCTAAGCATTTAGAGGAGAAGGTGATTAGGAATAGTCATTATGGATTCACCAAGGACAAGTCATGCCTGGCCAACCTGATTTGACTTCTGTGATGAGATAACTGGCTCTATGGATGCAGGGAAAGCAGTGGACATAATATACCTTGACTTTAGCAAGGCTTTTGATACTGGCTCCCGCCGTATTCTTGCAAGCAACCTGAGGAAGTATGGGTTTGATGAATGGACTGTAAGGTAGATGGAAAGCTGACTGGATTGTCAGGCTAGTAGTAGTTAGTGATCAATGGCTCAATGTCTAGCTGGCATCTGGTATCAAGTGGAGTGCTGCAGGTGTTGGTCCTGGGTCAGGTTTTGTTCAGTATTTTTATTAATGATCTGGAAGATGGGATGGAGTGCATACTCAGCAAGTTTGCTGACGACACTAAGTTGGGGGGGGTGTAGTAGATACACTGGAGGTAGGGCTAGGATTGGACCTATGTCACCAGAATGACCTAGACGAATTTGAAGATTGGACCAAAAGAAATCTCATGAGTTTCAATGAGAACAAGTACAAAGTCCTGCACTTGGGACAGAACAATCCCATGCACTGCTACAGCTTGGGGAGTGACTGATTAAGCAGCAGCTCTGCAGAAAAGGTCTTGGGGTTACTGTGGACAATAAACTGGATATGAGTCAGCAGTGTGGCCTTGTTGCCAAGGCAGCCAAGGCTGCATTGGTAGGAGTGGTGCTAGCAGACCGAGGGAAGTAATAATTCCTCTTTGTTCTGCACCGGTGAGGCCACATCTGGTGTACTGCATCCAGTTTTGAGCCCCCCACTACAGAAAGGATGTGGATTAGTTGGAGAGAATCCAGTGGAGAGCAATGAAAATGTTTCAGGGCCTAGGACAAATGACTTCTGAGGAGAGGCTGAGGGACCTGGACTTATTTAGTTGGGAGAAGAGAAGACTGAGCAGGGATTTAATAGCAGCCTTGAACTACCTAAAGTGGGGTTCCAAAGAGGATGGAGCTGGACTGTTTTCAGTGGTGGCAGATGACAGAACAAAGAGCAATGGTCTCAAGTTGGAGCAAGGGAGGTTTAGGTTAGATATTGGGAAAAACTTTCTCACTAGGAGGGTGGTGAAGCAGTAGAACAAGTTACCTAGAGATATGGTGGAATCTCCATCCTTGGAGATTTTGAAGGCCCAGCTTGACAAAGCCCTGGCTGGGATGTTCTAGCTGAGGCTGGGCCTGCTTTGAGCAGGGGGGTGGACTAGATGACCTCCTGAGGTCCCTTCCAGCCCTAATTTTCTGTGATTCTATGAATGTAAATCTCAGCATTTACACCAATATTTAAGATCCTTTCTTAACTAGAGTCCTGAGTGAGGGGGCGTTTGCTAGAGAATTTGCCTGGAAACTCCCTCACCTTCCTTCACTGTATGCTTGGTGAAAGGAAGCAAAGAAAAGGGAGATTTTTGGGACCAAAGTTCCAAACAGACCAGCTTACAGGGGAGTTTGCTAGTGAAGGTCTTTTTGGAAAGGGGCAGGAAGATGTAGGTGGTGGATTACGAGAAAATTCTAGTTTTCTGTGAATCTATGATTCTGTGCTTTGTGCTGCTCTGACAGTGGCTATATTCCTTTTTTTTCTTTGGCATTTGGGGAAAATGGAGTGCGAGGGGCATGTTTTCATGGCAGTGCTGTCAAGTATATTTAGTCAAAGTGTAGACATGCCCTTAGTATAAAATAGTGCACCAGTTTTATCATAGGAAATGGCTTAATTGGCAACATCTTAATTTTATTGGAATTTTTTTTTCCCTTCCAGGCATATTGTTGACTTTTTTCTTGTGATAACACAACTGGGATTTTGCAGTGTATATATAGTGTTTTTGGCAGAAAATGTGAAACAAGTGAGTAAAACAGTTTTTTATTTTCAGCATTACAGGCAACCCTCACTTAACGCTATTTCACTTGGTGCTATTTCGCTATAACACTCATTCTAAATTGATACCTGATTTCACTTGGCGCTCAGCGAGTTTTGTTATAATGCTTACAGTTGCCATGTTGGGTCATTAGAAACAATTGTGGTTGCCATCTTGGGACATCAAATACTTTTGGTTTCGCTTAATGCTTGGTTTTTCAGGAACCAATTAAGAGCGCTAAGTGGGGGTTGCCTGTACTTCCTTACTTGCCTGTATATTTTGTGTATGCTATTCACAGAATGCAAAGCTGAGATGCTATACAAAATAAATTTGTTTTCCCTAAAAGGTACTTGGAAAAAGTGATCCATTTGCTTTCTAGACTGAACCAAATTCTTGTGTAAGTGCTTGCAGCTTCATTGGCCTGTGATTGTCTGTCTTAAATTTCAACAGTGTCACAGTTCAACTGTGGTGTATACTTACTTTGCACACAGACAGACAGTATTAGAAAAATAAAGGAATTTCAGCTAAATATTACAATAAGATAGTGGATTTTTCTTGCACAAAATCAGCAATGCACTGTTAAATATGTTGAAACAGAAACCATATAATCTCTTCAATAGGCTCTACATATTATTCCATATCCAGATTATGGGGCCTACTTTACTCTCAAAAGATAGCATTGTTGTTTGTTGTTATATTACAGTGATATGCAAAACAGTTCTAGGGAACTTCCCAGGTGTAGTGGATGCATAGTTTTACCTTCAAGACCAAGGAGTAAATTGTATTTGTGTACCACATGCGAAAACATGTGGACCATCCCCGTGCAACTCATCAGGCTGCAGGACCAAAAGATTGAGGACTACGGATGTAGACTACAAGGCAGTGTTGCTTCAGGAAGTCTAATTGTTATTGTAGGTTTATTATAATATGCTACGATCTTGCCAGCTTCCAAAAACTAGGAAAAGGAAGGCCACCTTATTGCTAGTTGGGGACCCCACAGTAGGACATCTCAGAGGTACAGGTGATGCTCAGCAGATATATTGTCCTTGTTCAGAGATGTTTTGGGACCCTGGGCAAAAAAGATTGGGAGGTCCCTGGTGGGGATCCTTTAGCTTTTTCTTTTTTCTTTTTTTCTTTTTTTTTTATGACAGTTATTTGTGTTCCAAGCCAAATCAGCCAAATCAATTCCAAATACTTGACTGTGAGTCTGTCAAGAAGCATAAATGGCTCTACTATCAGCAAACGTCCTCCACGCCCATGTGGGGCTTCAGATGTTTCCAAGTCATTTGGCAGGCATCCTACATGCGGGCCCAAACCTGGAGGCTTAGGGTTCAGATACCTCCAAGTTTTACTTGCCCTCAGCTGTATGGCTGCAGGAACAAGCTAGGGGGAAGGATCTTTTCATTACAAAAAAAAAAAAATTGTTCATGTTCCAATCCAAATCAGTTCCAAATCCGTGAGTCAGTCAAGAACCATAAGTGGCCCTACCAGTGGCAAACGTTCTCTATTGAGGTCCCTTCCGACCCTAACATCTATGAATCTATGAATCCCAGCTGGGGCTTCAGATGTTTCCAAATATTTTGGCAGGCATCCTATATGCAGGCCAAAGCCCAGAGATGTGGGGTTTGGATGCCCCCAAGTTTCACTTGCCCTCAGCCCTAAGGCCACAGAAGAAAGCTAGGGAGGAGTCCCTCATTTCTATAAAATGGGCATAAAGCCAAGTTCTTACCACTCGAGCAGCAAATGGGAGGTTTACCTTACCTCCGTGGGTACTACCCCATGCCAGAAACGTGGTTACCCCCAGATGCAACTAGGAAAACTGCCCTGATGGGCTGGGGGGGGAAAACAAAACATATATATATATGTGGTATGATAGATATATATCATACCACAGAGAAAAAACCATAACCCGTTACAATATCTGAACCCATACAAAGGCCCTCTGGTCACCTGAAATGGTTACAGTATCCATGCCCACATGCCACACACAGAAATGCTGGACCAGGCAACCCATTCCCTTCATTCCCACCCTGCTTGCAGGGTCATAGACTCAGTTCACCTATTGTCCTTGTCACTGTTGCTCCAGGTCTGGCTGGAGGACTTGCTGCTGCTGTCACTGTTGCTATCCTCAGTTCCGTTTGTCTCTTCCTCTTCCTCACTGTCACAGCACACTTCCCTGCTAGGGGGGAGTTGGAGGATCCTGTGCCAAGTGTCTCCGTGCCAGGTGGCTTTGGCCACATCCTCTCCATCTTCTACTACTGATTTCTGGTAGTAGGTCTGGAGTTCTCTCAGAGCCATTTTCATGCAGTCTACCACCTTTACATCCATGTGACTACAGCAGGAGCTTCCTGGCTTTCCACAGGGCACTCCTGACACAGGATGCCAACTGGTTGAAATGGCTGACGGGCTGTCCTGGTGCTTGCTGAGGTGCCTGTACAGTGCTGCTTCTCTGGTCAGCTGGCTGACACAGGATACTGCTTCACAGAGCTACTTCACCCTGTTCCATACCTCCTTGGCACAGGTACAGAGCCAGAGGAAGTGGTCGATTGGCTTGGTGGCTCCGTGGCAGTTGGGTCACAGGCAGCTAGGTCTCTCCAGCTGTCTCTCTCTATACCTCCCGACCCTCACTGTCAGGGCTTGGTGAGCTATCAGCCAGTTCAGGTCCCTGTGATCTTTGCGTAGGTCCTTGTGGTTGATGTGCTTCCACATGGTCTGGCAAGCGTCACATGATGTCCCTCAGCCTCCCTGGCTCCTGGATCTTCTTGTGATTGCTCATGGTCACAGGGTCTGTGCTCTTCAGGCCGTACAAACTGCAGAACTGGTTTAGGATCTCGTAGAACCGTGGTGAGGCCATGATCCATGGTCTGTGGTCCCCTCTTTGCTCATGGGATGTTGGATTATCCTGTGCCACATGTCTCTGTGCCAGGTGACTTTGGCTGCATTCTCTCCATCCTTCACTACCGATTTCTGGTAATAGGTCCAGAGCTCACTCAGAGCCATTTTCATGCAGTCCACTACCTCTCTGTCCATTTGCCTGTACAACAGGAGGTTCCTGGCCTTCTACGTGGCACTCCTGACACAGGACGCAAACTGGTCGAAATGGGGTGACAGGCTCCCCTAGTGTTTGGTAAGGTGCCTGTACAGCACTGCTTCTCTGGTTAGCTGGCTGACTCTGGTCACTACTTTGCAAAGCTGCTTCACCCTTCTCCATACCTCCTTGGTACAGGTGCAAAGCCAGAGGAGGTGGTCAATTATGTTGGTGGCCCCGTGGCAGTTGGGTCATGGGCAGCTGGGTCTCCCCAACTGCCCCTCTCTATGTCTCCGGGCCCTCACCGGTAGAGCTCGGTGGGCTATGAGCCAGTTCCGGTCCTTGTGATCTTTGAGCAGATCCTTGTGGTGGATGCACTCCCACACGGCCTGGTACGTGTCACCAGGAGCAGGTCCACGGGTGATGTGGTGTCCCTTAGTCTCACCATCTCCTGGATCTTCCTGTGGTTTTTTTATGGTCGCTGGGCCTGCGTGCTGCAGGCCGTACACACTGCGGCACTGGTTCAGGGTCTCGTAGAACCACAGTGTGCCCAGGATCCACGGTCTATGGTTGGTCAGGGTGAATACTCCCCAGTGTCTCGGGATGTGCCCTGCAAAGTATCTCATGAGGCAAGCGGTTTTGGATTCTGTGTCCATCACCATCTTGCAGATCAGGTTTGTATACTTGGCCCATAGCAACAGGAGGATATCTGGCATGCCCCTGCCCCTGGCCCTCTTGTCCTTGTACAAGGTTTTCCGGGTGACCTTTTCCCATCTAGAGCCCCAGAAGAAGATGCACACGGCCCTCTGGATCCTGTGGGTGACACGCTCGGAAGGGAACACTGCCTTCAAGAGCGCGATGCATCCCCCCCGTGGAGAGGGGACGCATGCACCACAGCCCAAGTCTCTGCTTTACGTTTGTCTCTCTCTTCTCCCATGCTGTCCTGCCACACAGCTCAGGGTCAAAATCCATCCTGATGATCCTGACTCCCTCACGGGGAACAGAGACCCCCAGGGACTCCAGGTCTCTGAGCTCACCCATGGCCAGGCAGGTGCCCTTGCTCACATTGAGCTTGCCCCCCCAAAACCTGTATGTGTACCAGGGTTTTCTCTACTGACCCCCTGTTTCAGCAAAGGATGTTTAAATCATCCATGCAGGCTAGGACCTTTGCCTCTTGGTTGCTGCTGCCCAGGATGTGGACTCTGTGGATCCCTGGGTCCTGCCTCAGGTGGTGGGCCAGGGGCTCGATGGTGCAGATAAACAGGATTGGGGAGAGTGGGCAGCCCTGCCGGACTCCCAACTCCGGGCACTCGGGAAACTGTTGATCTGCACTTTGTGGCTCACTTCTGTGTAGAGGGTCCTGATCCATCTGACAAAAGTCGAGGAGACTCCCATCTGCTCCAGCATCTGGAACAGGAACTGATGGGACACTATCGTAGGCCTTCTTCAGGTCCAGGTTTAGGACGGCGATGCTCTGCCTCCTCTCCCTCTCCAGTTGGAGCGTCTCTCTCAGTTGCACCTAGGATGACTGCACCTAGGATGGATTTAAATTGCTCAGCCAAGACTTTGGCCAGCAGCTTATAGTCCAAGTTCAGGAGGGTGATCGGCCTCCAGTTCTTCAGCTCCTCCCTCGGTCCCTTTTTGTATAGGAGGATCATGAGGCCCTGCTCCATCTGCGCTTCCAGCCAGCCCTCCTGCAGGCGCTCTTGAAAGAGCTCCAGCAGGTCTGGGCCCACCAGGTCCCAGAAGGTCAGGTAAAATTTCTTGGGCAGGCCATTCGACCCAGGAGTCTTGCCATACTTGAAACTCCAGAGGCTCCTCTCAAGCTCCTCTGGCATCCAGTCCTCTTCCAGCTACTGCTGTTCATCCTCCCTGAGGGTCCAGGTGAGGCTTCGAAGGCACAGCTGCGTGGCCTCAGGGTCCACCGACTTCTCAGCATAGAGTTCCCGGTAGAAGGCAG